ACTGCATGAAGAAAACAGCATTCCTGCTAAAAATGTTTCCCCTGAATTTAATTAAGTCTTTAGACCTAATTTCCAGTTTCCAGGAATATGAGGAAGAGAGAAACAAGTTAAATGGGAACAAGAAGAAAACAAATCAGACAAATCCCACAGGTGGATCATCTTAAAGCACAACCGACAATCGGTGTCATGTAGGGAGGGAGGAGGGGAAGATCGAAGGAACTCTTCTAGATTAAACCTAACAATCAAATGCAACTGTATGGGTCTCAAATGGGTCCTGGTTTGAACAAATCATAACTAAAGACATATGGGACAACTGGGGAAGTCTGAATATAGATTAGGTATGAAATGATTTGAAGGAATTAATAGTTAATTTTACTAATCATAGTGTAAGTGGTTAAGAAAAAAACCAACACTTTCTAGGGTGACATTTTACCTCTAAATACATGTTTCTGATTTGCTCTCAGTAAAAGAATAGAACATGCCAATATGACAAAATGTTAATTTTGAATCTAAGTAGTAGGTATATAGCTGTCCATTATTCAATTTTGTCTATTTTTGTGTTTGAGAACTTTACATAATAAAAAGTAACTGTGAAATTAAATGTCATTTCCTAACAAAGAATATTCATTTTCTTGGTATGACTGTTCTACCAACTAATCCAACAATTCCTCTTTCAGTTGATATGAGGCCTTATTAATACATTAAAACCTTACATGCTAAAATATGTAAATAAATAAATAAAAATAAAACCTTACATGCTAGTAGGACAAGCAACTGCTTGTTCTTCTGGTCGATGTGTCTACAATATTCCTGAGGGAAAGTCTTTAAATAAAGGCTTTGTCTAATCAAAAGGGCTACAGGTTAGAAGACCACAGACCCGAGAGGGCATACAAATGAAGAACCTTTTCAAAAATCTGCCTCATAAGAAAAACAAGAGGCTTGTTACCATAGAAACTATTTGAGTGGCTTGAATGTTTCAAAGGAAAGCAGCGCTTGTAACAAGGAAAAAAGTCTGAAGTCCTTGCTAGGACCTCACCTGTCAGCTGCTCAAAGTCTACAGTGTGAGCAATGAGACAATAGTGGCCAGCAAACCCATACTACAGAGATCTCAGCATGGCAATTCAACTCCTAGTCCAGTGATGGCGAACCTATGACACTCATTTTTTTGGTTGATTTTTCTGTTAAATGGCATTTAAATATATAAAATAAATATCAAAAATATAAGCCTTTGTTTTACTATGGTTGCAAATATCAAAAAATTTCTATATGTGACACGGCACCAGAGTTAAGTCAGGGTTTTTCAAAATGCTAACATGCCGAGCTCAAAAGGTTCACCATCACTGTCCTAGTCCAACCCCTGCTCCCTGTAGACCAGATCCATAAAAGTCTTCAAGTGACTGGTCTAGAGACATAAATAAACTAGTTAGTGAGGATGCTGTGACGCATCCAGACTAGCTGCTCTTCCCAATATACCAGGATGAGTCTTTAGACCCCACCCTCAAGAAGTTCCACGTATTGTGGTGAAGGGGGAATAGAAAGAAAGAGATGGACATTAAAGTGAAAGACAAAGCAGCACCGATAAGCATGGCTTCCACTGAGGCAAAGCCTGAAGGTACTCACAGCTGGAGCCTGTCAGCTAACTACTCCTTGTGCCTGAAAGGCAAATTGTTTCTGGTGGACATTCAGGGTGGTGCACCTCCACGGTTACCTGTGCATTAACAGGAGCACTCTTATTTTGAAGGGGTGGTCAGTTAGAGATGCATGATCTATAGCAGCTCTGCCTTGAATCTGGAGTTCAGCGAGGTCCTGCTGAGTTTACGGCCTCTCAGCGAACTCCAGCACTCAGGGCCTTCAGCAGGGCTCATGAACATCTTCCCACAAGTGCATAAACTGTACAATAGGTATCATTGTGTTTTAAGCTATTTTAGGGAGAAATGCCTTGTTTGGAACGTTTGGCAATGGCCTCTGTTGAACGGGGCACTGATTCCTACCTTAGAACAAATAAAAACAAATGTCTGTACAGAAAGCACATCATGCCTCACAGCCAGAGCTATGTACTCTTGGCAAAGTGCTTCCAAAATATTCAACCCAGAACTCAGCAAGGGCCAGTTTCCTCACCTAACCCTGGTGGCTTATTCACAGAACTCTAGAGAGGCAATAGCTGTTGATAAATTGGGGGGGAGGGGGGGGATTCCCTCAAGGTTAGCAACCCAAACTAAAAAAGATAGAAAAGGAAGATTAGAAGAGAGTAAATAATAAAGGCTAAATATTGCAGAACAAGCCTCGTGTAGGACTTGTGCTTCAGTCTCCAGCGTGGGGGATGAGGCAGAGTGGTTTTTGAAGACACACTATGCACTAAACTAAAATACTAAACTGCCCTGGTGAGGAGATGGTAATGGAAGATTAGGAAACAAATGCAGGCAAGAGGCTGGCACATCATATAACCTCACAGCCATGGTGAGGAAAGACAGGGGAAAATCAGTCCAGTGTTTTCAGAAGGAAGAGACCTATTCGATTTTAGTAAAATCACACTGGCACCAAGGATTGGAGCAGAATAAGCTAGGAGGCAAGGCAGACAGCTGAGAAGTTACTGTACTTCAGGGGAGAGGAGATTAGGAGTCAAAACAAGAGAAGATAAGACAGTCTAAAGATACTCGGGAAGCAAGCTCCATTGATTTTAACTTCACGGTACAGACAACTCTGAATATTAGTGTCTTCTTTTTATTCCAGAACAGTTAGACAGAATCTTCTCTAAGTCAACATGGACTATTTCTGTTTTTAAAAAAATTTCCTTCTGCCTTCAGTTCAAAAACTACCTTCCCCATAATCAACCGTCGTTTCAAGTCTCTCTGCCAGAGACTTCCATTCGCTGCTAGCATAGACCATGGGCTCCTTGGGGGCCAAGACCTGGCCAACAAGTTTTGCTTCCCCTTTAACAATTGGCACAGGGTCATTCATATAGCTGCTGTTTGATAAATACACACACAGTACATCTTCAGTTCTAAGGATTTCTTAAAATAAGGAAATGAAAATACTATAGATGTAAATGTAAGAATATACAAGATTCTACAGGGTGAGTTACTGCCTCAACCAGGACAAAACAGGTCTCTTCTAACTTCAATATGATGTTCATGATAAACTTGGAAGTCATTACGCTAAGTGAAATAAGCCAGTCATGAAGGACAAATATGGCATGTTTTCACTCATATGAAGTACCTAGGACAGTCAAATGAATAAAAAAAATAGAATAGTGGTTACCAAGGGCTCAGAGGAAAGAGGAATAAGGAGTTAGTTGGTTAATGAGTTTCGGTTTGGGATGATGAACCATTCTGGAGATGGATAGTGGTGATGGTTGCACAAAAATGTGAATATACTTAATGCTAATAAACCACATACTTAAAATGGTAAGTTTTCTCTTATTTGCAATTACCACAATAAAAAGCAAATAAACAAACAAAAAGAATATACAACATTCAACTATATGCACTTCGACACAGTTGCAAATATATAGCAGAGATCACAATTCAGATGTTAGCCCAGATGGAACATAGTTATGTTGTATTATTTCTGCCTAATTGTTCAAAAAGGAGTTAAAATAAATGTGTATCTCTGAAATGTATATATCACTGTAGTTACAGATAAAATTACTTTATTTTTTAAAGTTATTTTTGAATATATTTTTATTAATTTCAGAGAGTAAGGGAGGAGAGAGAGATAGAAACATCAATGATGACAGAGAATCATTGACCAACTGCCTCCTGCACGACCCCCCCTGGGGGTGGAGCAGACAACCTGGGCATGTGCCCTGACCAGGAATCAAACTGTGACCTCCTGGTACCTGGGTGGACGCTCAACCATTGAGTGACTCCAGTTGGGCTAAAATTACTTTAAATGAAAGGAAATATGAAGAATTTATAACTGCAATTTTTAAAAGTACAAGCCCTAAAAACACATATTTAAAACAGAGCTGAAAAGTTTCCAAACAGTAAAACCATTAAAACAGACTTGCATTTATAAACTATAAATGACCACAACATAACTAAATGTGCTTAGACAAAATATATAAAATTTTGGTTTTCAAACATCTCCTTCAAAAGAGTAAGCGTGGGAGAGGTTTGTTAGTTATTACTCTACCTTACAATTGAATGTAATTTAGTTAAATTTTTTGCAATCATTCATGAATTCCCCTGATCAAAAACTTTGTGAAATATCCTTAAATCAGGATACGAAGAAATGTCTCTAAACTTAACCTACTTGGCTTTCTCTTTGCTAGAATTCAGGAAGAAAAGCAGAATTCCTATGTCTTATGATTCTCACATATTAATTGGGTCTTCGTATGAAATTCTAACATAGGCATGAAAGCCTGAGGGGGCATGATGTCATTTGGAACACGAATGCTATAGTCACACACATTTGCATTCCCGCTGTGACCTCTCACAAGTGACTTTACCTGAGCCTCCTCAGTTCCACCTCTTTAAGGTGCGTATGAACTCCAAGTTGACTGCAGGACCACATGAGGTCACACGTGTACAACCTGGCCTGCCTTCCCAGGGGCTTGGTCCCCATGCGCTTCCCTTTGACACCTAAGACTTTCATTCCCCAGCACCCAGCATGTCACCACCTCGATGCACACCAAGGGGAAACTCACTTGATCCTGACAATCAGGAAAAAGTACTTCAAACATTTTTGTTTCCTATAATTTGTCAAATTACTTGCTAAAGGCCTACAACCTGATTTGTGAGCACATTAAGCTATCGAAACTCCTCACTGATAACATGTACAAATGTCGATAGCACTTCATATATGCTGGGCATTTCTCTTAGCACTTCATGTGTATGAACTAATTTAATCCTCGCAATAATCCTATAAAGTGTATGAGTACTATTTTTTTAATAGATTTCAGAGAGAAAGGGAGAGGGAGAGACAGGTAGAAACATCAAAGATGAGAATCATTGATCAACTGCCTCCCGCACGCACCCTACAGGGGATCCAGCCCGCAATCTGGGCACCTGCCCTGACTGGGAATCAAACTGTGATCTCCTGGTTCATAGGTCAACGCCCAACCACTGAGCCACACCAGCTGCACTGGATGAGTACTATTAACAGCCCAATTTTACAGATGAGGCAATTGAGACATAGCTGGTAAGTAACAGGATCTGAAGCCAGGCTTTCTGGCTCAAGTCTATGTCTCATGACCTCTTCCTTTTGTTCCTTGCTCCTATAATTGGGAAAACCATTTTCCCAGTGCCTACACTCTTGAATCTCCTGAGTCTAATACCTCCTGTTAGGACTATCTCTGCCACTTCTCTCTCTTCTTCCCACCTGAATGCAGACAACTCCTGAAGTTTAGGCCACCTATCTCCTCCCACTTGTTTAAGGAGCTCAGGCACTCTCCTAACCTCACTGTCAGCTTTCTTCTGATAATTCACAAATTTAAATCTCTAGCCTTAAACCATCATGCCCTCTCTTGGCCTGTTTAAGTCACCCCTTTTCCTCTGCACACAGGCAAATTCCAACCACCTTATTTCAAAATCTGCCTAGGTGCTTTTGGTGCATAACAAAACACCCCAGAATGTAGTGGTATACAACTATTTTATTATGTCCTTGGATTCTGTACATCAGGAATTCAGACAGGGCATGGAGGATATGCCTGGTCTGTACTCCACAATGTTTGGGGCCTCACTGGGGTGACCAGTCAGCTGTGGGCTGGGATCACTTTGAGGAACCTTTACTCTCATGTCTAGTGCTTGATGCTAACTGTTGGGTGGAACCTCAGCTACAGCAAGTAGGCAGGACACACACATGTGGCCTCTCCGTGTGGTAGAGCTTCCTCACAGTATGGCACCCTCAGAGTAACTGGACTTTTTACCTGGTGGCTCAGGGCTCCAAAGTGTCCTACATTCTTAACACACTTTCCAATTAATCAAATCCCACAGTTCTTCCTCACTATAAAGGAAGGAATATATTAAGCATCAGTGCTTTTTTTATATACCTTCTTATTCTTTATAAGATCCCAGGCAAAGCAGGTATTACCAACTTTACAAAAAGGGAAAGAGGACAATTAAGTTTAGAGATATGCTAGTAACTATACAGATAGTTAAGTAACAAGACCACATTCAAATCAGGCTCCTTCTCTATGCAATAAAGATTACAATGACGATCAACCTTGCAAAAATACATATCTAACTATTTTTCTCTAATTTGGGGGGAAAGGTTTTCAGTAACCAGATTTTTTTGCTGACTCATCATTAGGAAGATTGTATTTCTTTTATTCCTAGATTTGAAGCAACTTTGTCACAATACTTTTAATTTATCTATTTGAAAATGCATGCATATACTTCAAAAATCAAAAACTGAAAATACAGTGAAGTCTTGCTTCTATTCTTGTCTGCCATCTGCCCAGTTCGCATCCCTAGTAACATGTAACAGTTCTTAAGGCCAATATAAACATTTTTTGTCCACCTCTCCCCCTCCCCCACCTCTTTCCTACAAAATATGTATAGCTCTGCATCATTTAGTCACTCCAAGACTATACATTTAGGTTCCATTCAAGGCTGCAGTAACTAACCTTGAGCATAGATCATTTCATGTATGCAAGTATCTACACAAGATAAATTCCCAGAGGCAGGATGTTCAAGTAGGTGCTGGAGTCTATTTATTGTCTTCACTAGCTGAGTATAGACAGAGACCCCCAAAAGTTAGTAACCTTGAAGCCCTAGCAAAGGTCAGGGCTGTGCACCACCCAGTTAATCTAGATACCACCCAGTTAATCTAGATAATGGTAGCTGAAGCAACCTCCCTACCTTTAATCATGTAAATTGCCTAAGGGTCATGCTATGACCTAGTCTGTGTGTCATTGAAACCTCCTTACCCTAGGGCTACCCCAGAGAAACCTCCTTACCCTAGGGCTACCCCAGACAAACCTCCTTACCCTAGGGCTACCCCAGACAAACCTCCTTACCCTAGGGCTACCCTAGACCAAATAAAAGGTTGGAGTGGCCAGAGCATCGGAGGAAGTCTCTCTCCTTGAGTTGGACTTGCCCGCCTGGTCCCCCAATATTGCAAAATTATCTCGTGTCTTTTTCTCTCATTTGTTGTGCGGCTCCTCTTTCAGATACCGAACCCTACTCCACGCGGGACGTGGAAGGAAACTCACTCAGCAGTAGGAAATATACATCAGTATAGATGTTACCAAATTATCCTCCCTAAGGATAGTTACACTCTCAACAGAAATCTTTGTTTCCCTATAACTCCAATAGCTTACTGCATTATCAAATTTCTAGACCTTTGACAATCGAAAAAAGGAAAAGCTTTGGGGTGAGGGGATCCTGTGTGCATGTTTTTTTGAGGGTGAGGCCAGGCATCTTTCCATGTGTTTCAGTCATTCATATTTACTTTCCTATGAACTGTCTGTTTACCTGTCTTGTCCATTTTTCAATGGTGTTTTTGGCCTTTCACACTAATTTATAGCATCTCTTGTTATCATCCTGTTGTCTACAATATGAATAGAAATATTACTTCCCAATTTGTCATTTGACTTCATTTGTGTTGATATTCGATGTGTGAAAATTTTTAGCTTTTATATAGTGAAAGTTACAATAATTTTCTTAATGGCTTCTAGATTGAGTCTAAATTAGGTAGATCTTTGCTATAGAATTAGTATTAAAGAATTTAAAAATATGCCCTAGCCAGTTTGGCTCAGTGGATAGACCATCGGCCTGCGGATTCCGGTCAAGGGCTCATGCCTGGGTTGCAGGGCTCGGTCCAACGTGCAGGAGGCAGCCAATCAATGATTCCCTCTCATCATTGATGTTTCTATCTTTCTCTTCCTCTCCCTTCCTTTCTGAAATCAATAAAAATATATTTTTTTAAAAAGAAATTAAAAATCTTATCTATTTTAAGTTTTATCTTAAATACTTTTAAACTTGCCCTAGCTGGTTTGGCTCAGTGGACAGAGTGTCGGCCTGCAGACTGAGGGGTCCCAGGTTCGATTTCAGTCAAGGGCATGTACCTTGGTTGCGGGCACATCCCCAGTGGGGAGTGCGCAGGAGGCAGCTGATCGATGTTTCTCTCTCATCGATGTTTCTAACTCTCTATCCCTCTCCCTTCCTCTCTGTAAAAAAATCAATAAAATATGTTAAAAAAAATACTTTTAAACTTACCAAATAGTTGCAAAGAAAGCCTCAAGAGTTCCCATATACCTTCCTTATAGAACTCCAGTTAATAAATTCAGAAATAATTAAAGAACCAAAAGTCATTATTTTGTAACTTCTAATCAGTATTGAATCTCGACAATCACCAATGGCTACTAAAATCAGTAGGTGAAAGGTTGGTTAAACTGAGATGGAACAGCCATAGAGTAGGGTGAGTCGGTCCATGACTGCCTCCCATTTACCTGCCTTTCCCTTTTGAGGAAAATTCGGCCTTGACTTCCATCCAAGGTTGCAGTCTTGCCCCATCTCCAAAGGTCCACCATTTCAGCAAAACAGATGACAACAGTAAAACTTTCTGGGAATGAGCCTTCCTAACACCATGGGACATTATCCAACTAAGAGGATGGTCATTCATGCAGCCTTCAGACTGATTTATGACCAAAAGCTACAAGTGTGGATGACAAGGGGGCCACATACTAAATCTGACAGGCTCAAAGGTGGCCTGCGCACAGTGGGCCTTACAAACTCAGAGACTGAAAGCAACCACATAGGATGGTCTGAACATAAATATTCCTAACTAAAAGTGGGTCATCGTCAGCCTCTATTGTCTTTTTGCATCTAAGATAATATACCTTTGAAATGTCAGCGTAATCTTTTCCAGACCCCTCAGGGCACACCCACAGCTCGAGAGCATAAGACCAGAGAATCCCTGATTGTTACCTTGACCCCAGGATACCATCTCTATGTGCTGTCCATGTTAATTATTTTCTATATTGTACCCACCAATGTAAAAGAAGTATATGTCTCTCCATTTTACTTTCTAGCCAATCCCACTTTGATTTTTCCTACCCCCTTAATCTATGACCAATGGTAGATTATTTCTTTCCCTATAACTCCAATAACTTAATGCAGTATCAAATTTCTGTACTTCACATAACCCTCTTTTTAAATATATTTTATTGATTTTAGAAAGGAAGGGAGAGGGAGAAACATCAATGATGAGAGAGAATCATTGATTAGCTGCCTCCTACACGCCCCCTACTGGGGATCGAGCTTGCAACCCAGGCATGTGCCCTTGGCCAGAATTGAACCTGGGACCCTTCAGTCTGCAGGGTGACGTCTATCCATTGAGCCAAACCTGCTAGAGCTCACGTAACCCTCTTTACATCTCTTCCTTTGATTCTTATGTATAAAATAAGCTGCAAAACTGTCAACCTCTGGAGCAAGTTTTAGGTTCACTGAAGACTTTGCTTCCCAGCAACTGCCATCAGTTTGACTCAAATAAGCTCATAAAAATTCTCAAAAAAAAAAAAAAAGATGAGCTGGTACTAAATCAAGATGGTAGATTCAAAGGATAGCCAGTTTTTGGGAGAGGTGACAGTGTCTCTTCCAGCCCTCCCTCCGTCCCAGCCTACAAGCTGCAGCCAGTGTTGAACAGTAACCAGGAGAGTTGAATACACCCACGATAAGGCACATTGGGAAGTAAGGGGAAGGTGTACCAGGCACCTTTGAAGAAAAGCTGCAGTGCAGAGAGAAATGACAAATTGCCCAGAACACGAGAAGTTAGCATCAATCCACTCAGGAGGAACTGAAAAAAATAGTAATTTTGAGGATGTAATGTAACAACTTATTTTATATTTTACAACACTTACATCAACACTATTAATCAGAATTAATATACTAAGATATAAAGTATCTGGTTTATAATCATAGAAAAGAACTTTGTTTCTATCCAAAACCATCTGTGTGTCATTTGGCATACGCTCTCTCCTAAAGAAATTAAAATTAGGGATTGGGCAGGATTGTGTTCTCTGTTACTCTCTTCTATATTTTCTACAGACTTAAGTATCCTTCCTTCTCTCTCCCACCCAGGGTGGTGCAAGTCTTCGACCACCACCATTTCAGGTTTATCTCTTTAAGCGCAGCATCATCCTCATCCTCATCTCCTCTCCATCTTCTTTTTAACTATGTACCTCTAAGAAATTGATAATAAATCCTTAAGTGTGACCCTCTAGTGTCTTTCAAACTTTTGATCACAATCCACAATAAGAAATACATTTTACATCCGGGGCCAGTACACACCAGAAAAAGTCAGACCTATAAAATCTACACAAAAGTTCCTCAAAACATCTACCCTTACTACATGTGATAGACGGATCTTCTCCATTCTAATCCACCCCCCGCCTTTTTTTTTAATGCTGGTGACACAACTATTAGGTCACAATTCACAGTTTGAAATACTTAGTAGATAATAAACATCTCTGATACATCTCTAAGTGGCAACATGAGAAAGTGGCTACGAGTTCTGCCTTTAGGCTGCCTGGATTCAATCACCAGCTCTACATGAAGCTGCCAACTTCTCTGCCTCAGTTTCCCTGGCAGGGGTGTAAAAGAACAGTGCTACCTCAAAACTGAGCATCAACCAAGACTACCAACAAAAAGCACTTAGAGCATAAAAAGTATTCAGTTAATGGCTATTACTAATTCTTACATAGTCTGTGGACTTTTCATTGTGGTAGATGTGGTAAATACAATCCATCATTTTAACCACTTAAAGTGTACAATTCAGTGGTATTGCATCCATCACCACTTTCGCATGCTGTGCAACCATCACCACTCTCTAGTCCCAGAACTTTTAACACCCCAAACGAAAACTCATACCCCTTCCGCCCTCCTCCCCAGGCCCTGGCAACCCCTAATCTGCTGTCTCTAGGTCCATAGACTTTTTAAATAATAAAGTAACATTTGACTAGGGCAGTTTTCTAACGTAGAATGAAGTGTCCTTTGGAATCATTAGTCCTATGGTTCATGAGACAAACTTCTGCTAATGATTTCTTAGGAAAACCTTGTGAGCCACCTTAGGTAAATTCTGGGACCTGTCTGGGGGTCAGAATCCCCTCTCTCCTGTGAATCCTGTTGGGGCAAGATTCCCCAAGCCTGGCCAGTGCAGGGAGAAGAGGGCTGTCAGTGCCCACAGGAGGCAGTGCCTACAGCAAGTCTCATTCATAAAGATGTTTCTTCATTCTGTCATGGGATTTCACCAAAGGGTAGCATGTTCATGAAATAAGGAATGGTTATTCTTCAGTCTTTGCATTTTGAAGTTTTACTTTCAAAGCTCTAAACTCTTACCGTAAAGGGGTAAAAATGTGAACTTGGACACATTTCTTGGCTTTAGGATATAATATCATTTCCTTTTGGCACCCCACCCTCCTCTCACTCTGATTTGTCACCCTTCCTTTGGGGTGTGGAACACTGGACAAAAATAACTTTCTTCTTCCCAGGATCTGTTCAGGCAGTTGCCAGATAGATACTCCAGCAGGGAAGTAACAGTGGCAAAGCAGCACTGTTACTCTGAGAGGTTGTTAAGGCAGAAGGCTTCTTAGGCCAAAGAAATAAATGTCACCATGAGGCACCAAAGATGTGAACTACAGAATACCCTTTAGTCCCAGGTGTATGTCAGAAGCTTTATCTCTCTCTCTCTCTCTCTCTCTCTCTCTCTCTCTCTCTCTCTCTCCCTCCCTCCTCCCTCCCTCCCCCTCTCTCAGACCAACACCACTCACCCAGCAAATAGGCAGCAAAGTCCTCAGTCATTTCCCACTCCCTCTCCTCCTGCCATCCCCCTGCTTTTTCTTGTCCTGGGTGAAAGGCTGACCCTAAGTGACATCTCTGGGCCAACCTGGCTTTCTAGGGAGGGAGGGAGGGAGGGAGGAAGGGAGGGAGGGAGGGAGGGAGGGAGGGAGGGAGGGAGGGAGGGAGGGAGGTGTGGGGAGGCTGGGAGCAGGTGACAGAAGAATTCAACTCCGTGTCCCAGAGTTCAGCAAACATCTCTGATTCCCAGAGTCACTTTATTGCTTTCTAGGAAAATGGAGGGAGAAGGTTTAAGTAGCAAACAAGCCCCAGAAACCTCACACCTCAAACTCCAGGCCGCCTGTGCCCAGAACTGTACCAAATTCTGGAAGAGTCCTGAGCCAGAGTGAACTTGGTGCGGACCAAAGAGAATTACAACTTTCCGAAGACCCGGTGCCTGGCAAGTCAGTGAGAGTGCAGGTCCCCGAGTTTGCGGTGCAGGCTCACCCCGAGCACCCCCCTTCCTCTTCTCCCCCCTCACACGAAGTCACGGCTTCCCCCGAGACCTACCAAAAATGAGACCTCCGAGGAGCGCCGACCTAGGAAGCCCTCGCTTCCACAGCGCCCAGCGGTCCTCACCGGGGTCCAGCGCGCCTCCAGCATCCCGCCCCGGGCAACTCGGGTCTCGCCAACCTAGGGCTGCGTGGCGGGATCTGGGGGCACCCTCGAGGGCCGCTGCAGGTGGGGAGGCCGCTGCCCCCCAGGGCGCCCTAGTGCGTCCCACGCACGGCCCTGGCCTTGGGGAGCCGGGCCAGGGCCGAGGGCGGGATTCGGACGGTGACAGCCCCGGGCTCCTGCTGCCAAGAGTGAGGCAACCCTGGACTTCCCGGAGCCCGCGCTCTCCCCGCACCCCCCGCCCCAGCGCCCGGCGGGCTCACCGACCTGAGATGGTCTCCTGGTAGCCCTTGGTGAAGAACTGCATGGCCGTGGCCGCCCTCCAGGGCGTCTTGAGCAGCCCCTGCCGCTGCGGGTCTTCGCCCAGCGAGCGCAGGATGGACGAGTAGGCGGCGGCCAGGTTGGGGAGGTTCAGCTCGTTATCCTCCTCGCTGCGGGGCCGGTCGCCCTTCCAGCCGTCCGTCGGCTGGGCGCTCTTGGTCTCCGGACGCGGCGACTTCTCGGCGGGTCGGCTGGGCGGCCCGCGCCGCGGTTCCCCCTCCAGGGTCCCATTGCTGCACCCCGCGTCCCGCGGCTTCGCCGGCGCTCGCACCGGGCCCTTCTCCATGGTCCCGCCGCTGCCGCTCCGGGAGACCTCGGGACGCTCAGGAGCTGCGACCAAACTTCGCCGGAGGCCGCGGGCGATGGGCTGTGGCTGGAGGAAGCGGACGCAGGTAGGCGACGCGCCGGTGGCAATGCGAGGGGAGCAGCCCCGGGCTCTTTTTATGGGTTAGCTAGCGGCTCGGCCGGCGCCGCGGGGCGTCCTCATTGGCGGGAGCCGCCTTGCGTCACGGCCCTCGCCCCGCCCCCGGCACGGCGCCCTGGGCCCGGGGTCCGGGAGGGGTCGGTGCAGCCCTCGGCGTGCGGAGGGCTCCGAGGGGCGCGCCTCGGTGCGACCGGGGGGCTGGGGCGGGACTGCGAGCCCGCGCGGGAGCCATTCCGCCCGAGAGTCGCGGGGCGGGCTCCCGGAGCAGTTGCGAGGCGAAGGGAATCTGAAGGAGGCAGGTGCCCGGAGCTGGAGCCTGGGCGGGGGCGGGCGCGGAGCGGCGGCCGGGCCAGCCCTCTTTTTTTAGGGTAAAGAGGATTCCGCATCAGAAGTGCTCCGCTCCCCTCGCCCAGGGAGAGATGAGCAAACAGGTGGCCTCGTGGGGGAAGAGACTGGGTCAGTCTGTGGGTAAGGAAACCATCGCTTATGCTTTCAGGGCAAGAGAATAGTATGACTTGAAACTCTTGCACGCGACAGTTTGCAATATGTGCCGCGCCCCCTCTGCTCGGTTTCCGAGCTCCGTTACACCAAGCGAGTCTCTGAGTCTGGGCTGATGCATTTGACCCGGGAGAACTTTGACCCTAGAGAAACTGATTTGCAAACGAAGCAAGCTCCTTTCCCCTGACGTTGATACAAATTGTGAAATGTTATTATTGATCAGTTGGATTCTTAACCAATGACATCTATTTTGACTGTTTTAAGATGTTTTAAATATTTTTATTGATTTCAGAGAAGAAAAGAGAGGGGGAGAGAGATGGAAACATCAATAATGAGAGAGAATCATTGATTGGCTCTCTACTGCACGCCCCACACTGGGGATCAAGCCCACAACACAGGCATGTGCCCTGACCAGAATCAAATCCGGGACCCTTGGTCCGCAGGCCGGAGCTCTATACACTGAGCCAAACCAGCTAGAGCTGTTTAAGATTTAGAAAGTGACTTTTTCTCTCACTAGAGGGATTATTTCATAATGCCAAAGGTAAGTTTTAAAACATGTATCATATTATCATATGATTTGTTCCAGAGAGTTTCTAATGCTGGTTTTCTGACATATAAACAGTATTAAAAGGCTTAGAATCAGACACACCAGGAGGGAAGCCCCTGAGATTATTCTATATTAATAAAGTAGCATAGGCATTATAATTAGTATTTATTGAATGTCTGCCCTAGGAATAGCTGTTCTAAACATTCAGGAAAGGAATATGGAAATTGACTGGCCTCCTAGGCATCCTTAAGCTAAAATAGAAAAAAAAATATTCATGTCAGTGGGTTTTTAAAAGATAGTTACTAAATTTCTATATACATTAAATACCAAATTACATAAATCAAGAAATATGAACATCCTTTGGAGAAAGTTTCTTTATCACTCTCCTAAAATATATTTTGTAAAGTTTCTACCCCCTTTGGCAAGGTCCTGCAACATTATTTCCCTTTAACTGCACTGCCTACTGTCCTTATATTTAACAAATGAAAACAGATACCAAGTGAGGTACTTAAAAAAATGGAGGGATTTGATGGAGATATTTTCATTAAGGGTGTGTGTGTGTGTGTGTGTGTGTGTGTGTGTGAAAGAGAGAGAGAGAGAGAATCTTTTGCCTTCTTTTAAAAAAAAATCTGTAAACATTAATATCATATTCCCCAAAGATAATTTCTAGTGGCATTTTTACCCTAAACATTAACATTTTTTTATAAGCACTGCCACTGAGGCATCAGCACATTTGTTGCCAATTATTACAAATTCTCTGGATTTGTTCTAGAACATATTTACATGTAAAATGGAGGCAGTGCCTTCTAGCTAAATACCCAAAGGTAATATAAGGAAGCTTTAAAATTGCCAACATTAATAAACAGTTTGACAACGAAATGTAGGTAGTTGGGTGGCTATAAGTAGAAGAGAAAAAGGAGGGAGAAACTAAAAGATGAAGGGTATATTTTACAGAATCTATTAGCATATAATGTTCAACAGTAAAGCCATAAGCATTTGCAGCCAGGAATTGTGACATCTGTTTCTAAAGCAGTACCATGACCCGTTTTTACCTTTGACCCAACCTGGGAGTTGTTTTCTACCAAAAAACCAAGGATTTTTTAAAAATATATTTTATTGATTTTTTACAGAGAGGAAGGGAGAGAGATAGAGAGTTAGAAACATCGATCACCTGCCTCCTGCACATCTCCTACTGGGGATATGCCCGCAACCAAGGTATATGCCCTTGACCAGAATCGAACCTGGGACCTTTCAGTCCTCAGGCCGAGGCCCTATCCACTGAGCCAAACAGGTTTAGGCAAATTTTTTTTTTTAATTCTTCTATTTCAAGGGTAGTAACAGAACAGGAAAATAGGTGAGTGAGGTACACAGCATCAAAGATTGAATATTGCAGAGACATAGAGTCACTTGTCAAGGATAACAGGTAAACTAACATTAGGCACTGGAAAGTGGTAATTGGGAAATAAAAGCAAATTTCTTTCAGTGCATTTGATGGAGGTTGTATGTGGGGAGCCGATATAGGGTTAAGCCTCGGACTGACCTGTTGGCAAAGTCACAAACAAGTCTTCTTCCGAGTCTTAAACAACCCAATCCGAGAGGTGGCTGCTGATTTACACACGATGTCATTTAAAAAATAAAAATGGGGGAATTTGCCAGAAGCCGGTCCACCCTTGCTGCTTGACACAGTCGCTGCAGGGAAGAAACATCTGCACAGCTTATGTTTCAAGGGACCTGGCGTATATGGCATACTGTTCTTAGTATGTTTGCTCCACTTCTTAGCGCTATGTGTTTTAACCAAGGTCACCTCTCTGAGAAAGGTTGTTTCCGCAGGTGGGGATTTTTTCCTGGAGTTAGGGATTAACAGGACTAGGAAGGGAATAAAACCCCTTAACTAAGTGCCAGGCAGGTAATTAATCACTTCAACTATGAACAATCATGCTTAAACTACATAACCTTTACTTAGGATAATCTCCTTCAGTTACTTCCTTGTAGCTTAACAGAACAGTAGAGTAGTGACCTTGGAATGGAGATAACAAACGCCCTAACCTTTGGAATAGAATGGATAGGATTAAAATCAACTGGTATAAATACAGATGTAACAGGACAATAGACACAGAACATGGCAGGAGAACCTGGACAGAATCTGGCGACAGAACCTGGATGGAGAACCTCGTGAGAGAACATGGCAAGAGAACCTAGACAGAACTTGGCTGGAGATCCTGGCTAGAGATCTCCAGCTAGTGAGAGAACATGGCAAGAGAACCTAGACAGAACTTGGCTGGAGATCCTGGCTAGGCTGCTGATCAACTGAACGCTGCCTCCGTGTCCTTCCTTCTTCGCCAACTCTGTCCACACCTTTGGGGACCCCTGGACCTGCTGGGGTCAGACCCCAACAGTTGTATATTTGAAATTCAAACTTAAGAAGAGATTCTGGGTCGAGGTGGAAAGGTACACAATAAAA